GAAGAGAATTATTACAGAGAAAATAACAACAATGAATTTACAACAAATTAAGAAAGATAAACAAATGAAAGGTAACTATATAAGTTTAAATGCTAGAAATGAAAATAATGTCTAATGTGATACCATCTGACATACCAATGATACCAATCTAATTTTTAATTTAGTATTATTGTAGGGACACTAAAAGAAAAGGTTTCTTTTGTAAGCATGCATGTATGCAAAATAGTTAATTTTTTAATTACTAATGATAGGGGAGGTATTTGAAGATGATAATTATGGAGACATAATTATTGACCATCCATTGATTTTGAAAATAATTATTATTGAAACAAAAAAATTTAAGAGACTAATAATACATTTGGCAATGGTACATGTAAACCATGTGTAAACTGATAAAACTTGTATGTAGTTTTGTTTACACAAACAACATATTGCGGGCCAAACTCGGTCCGTGTATTTTCCCGCCATCTTAATTTCTATTTTTAGATATTAGACAAAGGGTTAATTTTAAATATTCCAAATTCCTATTTTTAGATCAAAACGGCCGCCTTCTTCACAAGATAAATAGGAACCTGAGGATTGGAAAGATAAGTCTCCAATAATTGGTTTAATGTTGATAATCATGAGTTTTTTCTTACCTATTTCCTAGGCTGTATTATTTCTCTAAACAACAAGCTGACACTCGTAGGGCACTGGCACTAAAGGGGGCTGGGGCTTGGCTATTAGGGGCGGGGCCAGGGGCCATTAGTCTATCTATGCCATCACCTATCATGACCTATGGCTAATGATCTGTACGTTGCTGCAGTGTTGTATGCAGTTAATTTTTGACTGAAATCAAATACTGTCTACACATACAGGTACATGTATCTATGCTGAAAATAATTCTTTGATTATACCCTTTGTATAGAACTTGATGGTACTCAGTCTGCTCCCTGGTATTGACCAAAAAACTTACAGCTGTTTTCCTGTCTGCCCAGTTTGTTTACTGATTAAAATGTTAATTATTGCTAAAATTAATTAAATTATCATAAGTAATAGACCCCTCCCCAATGATTAACTATTGAAAAATGGCAGGCAGTTGGCAAGAGTGATTTCCTACTGGGGAAGGAACCACAAGGATCTTTGCTGGCTAAATATTTACGGTAGTTGGGTGGGGAAGCTTTTGTTATTCATAATCAATATTAAATGAAGAATTAAATAAGTGACATATTGAATAAATGAATCATTAAACGACACCTAGCATAAATGAAGAAATGAATACATAGTTACATTCGGAATAAATGAGTTATTGCAATGATAAGACCAGTTACTTGTTATTTAATCATCAAGAGGAGCACCATCACTTCCATCCTCATCTGCTGGCACTGTTTTTTTGATAGCAAACAAAAAGTCATCAATGCCTCGAATGACCATTGTTTCGTTATACCCCCTTTCTCCACGGCAGCTGGGACAGGCCTTTGTTAAAGCGTCAGGCCCACTGTACCATGAATTGACACAGATTTCGCACCCTATTATTGTTTTGCAACACTTTGTTACAATAACAGGAGGATTGATGGGCACAATGTGACATATCTTGCACTTAAAACAATCACAAAGTACTTTCTTGAGTGCTAAAGGTATTTTAGTGTCTTTTGATACTTGCATCACTTCAGAGACACTTTCCTTAAGAGTAAATACGTCTTCCATCAGTCTGTTAATCTTTCCTTCAATACGACTTTTCTTCCTCCTTTGTTGGAATTCATCATCAGAATCCGAATCATGTGAAATACTTGACAATGGCTCATTACGACTGTGACTTTTACCTTTCATACTATCCTTCACCACAGCATATATCTTCCTTCGTGGATTTTTCCAGAATGCCAAACCTATATAACACAGCAATTATCAATTATGAACTCTTGAGGATATATATAATAAGCAATAATTATGACATAATTTAAAAAGTTACAAAAAACATACCATTTGTAGCCCCCGAGTCAACTAATTGTAATCCGTCATTTGTAACTACTGTGTACATCTCCCCCCAGGTTTTCTGAACTTCTTTGACAACATAATCAACCCTGGCAGTTAAATCATCAATTTCGATAAATCCAGCAGCTACGTGCTTAAATACAGCTTTATTTCCCTGCCAGGTGAGGGTAGCTTTGACGATTTTTAAACGATACTTGGCCTTCTTTGCCGATGACACAACGGAACGGAACAGTGGCGTTGAGCTCGAGGAAAGGCTGGAACTTGATGACGGCAGAGAACCGAGAGAAGATACCGGAGACTGCTGCTGATATCGAGGAGTAGGAGCGGTCGTGGCTACACCATTGACAACTAGGGTTTGAAATTGGTGTAGCCCTTCAAAGGAGCCTTCATCATTTGGAAAGTACGCACTACCGTCAAAATCGTCCTGTAGCCATGCCTCTTCGGGATCCACCTGAAAAACTCGCCTTAAATTCTCTGTATTCACCTGAGAAACATTAAGTTCAGAGGACCTGCCATTCCTTTTTAACATAACGGTAAAGCCAGAGTTCCAATCCAAAA